TAAACTACTCAGTGTAGACAAAATCAAAGTAATACCTTTACATCCATAGTCAGATGGCATGGTAGAGAGGTTTAATGAAACTGTACTCAATAACCTCTCACTGATACTGCTTTTCCATTGACCTAACACAGTGCTGGCTATTCCCCATCCTTCAATCATGAACTTAGTTTGCCTTGTAATCTGTTGTTTGTTCACCTTCAGGATGCACCTTTATTGCCTGAGGGGCCCAGCACACTAGTAGTTCTGCTGTTAGACTCCTGGCAAACGGGCTGGCTGCATGGATGTTTTTATGGTTTTCCCCATGTGTAACATGTATACGAGCCATTTTCCCTTAGAAGTTCCCCATGAAGGCATACCTTTGTTTAGGCAGATAGTCCTTATGTGTTTTGCCATAATCAAATAAACCAAAACCATTATCTGAAGAGTACATGCAGGAACTCTAAGCGTGGTTTGAAGCGAAGCAAAATTTTACTCGAGAGTGAGTTAACTTGAGCCGCAAAAGATGAAGACCAGTACTGAACGAGGGCTACAGGACATCGATTCAAAGGTGACAGGGTATAGTTATCAATGTAATTTTGGTGAAACTGTATGTAAATGTTGGTATCTCTTGCTTAATGTAATATGAAAGACCTCAAGAAGGCGAAGCTCAGCTGAAAGAAAAAGATTACAGGGGCAGGTCATTTAAACATTGAGATAAATGGCCGAGGGGGCGATGGTTTTGGCAACTAATTTTTGTTGCCAAATTGGGTGAGATATTGCTGAACACCACCAAAGGTGGAGATCTCTGATGCCATTTTGGTCTGATCCCCGTATAACTGTAACTGTTTCAATCCTTAAGTAACTAACTGTGAGGAATCTATGTAAATGTGTATGCTTTTTAGTAATTTCTAGAAATCAAAGGTACTGGAAATTTCTTGGCAGCGTGGAGGGTAACTATATCAGATGGTCAGAGCATCAGTTTAGAGCTGAGTTCAGAGTTTAGCTCGGACTATTGACAGGCCACTGTATGAGCTTACGTATTTCAAGCATTTTGTATTGAGTCATATTCAACATTCTTACTGTTTTGAAGTGGCACCTACTGATTTTGCTCTGTCATACTGAGAAGATCTGTACAAGTACTTTTGAGAAAAATTAAAAGTTCTATAAGTGTAAATTGTTTCTTCTTGGAAAAAATAAAATAAAAATAATCATTTGTTTCTTTCATCTGTTTCCTGTGCATTCAATCTATTACAAACCCATATAACAGAAACTTACATATGTGACACTTTCATACACGTGAATTTGATTCTTAATAATTTTTCTTCCTCTAACTTGATTATTAATGCTGAGCAAATTCATAATAACCAAAGACTTGCTTTGAACTCTCAAGCTGGCAGTAAATTAGATTAAAATCTAATAAATTAAAGAACCTTACCTTATATGTCTATGTGAATATGCACAGTATTATACATGGGAACAAAAAGTATGCTGTTTGTACTGAAAAAATTTTCACCAAAAAGTTTCTTGATGATGGTAATTGCCAAGCAGTGACAGGTAACACAGAACAAAAAGTGCAAGAAGACATCAGACAGTTGTTGTCTTGTCCATATTACATGGAAAAATGGTTGCCAGAGCCTACTTCTAATTCCCCCCCCCCTCAATTTTGAGGGAGAGCACCCTGGGGGGAATTCAGGGGTCTTCCACTGCTCTCCTCTTCCACCAATCCGCATGAAAGGACTTTTAGCTCGCCATATATTTAGAGTACCATGCTGTACTGACAGTATACATTTACGAACATCTATATCTTCTCTGGGATTCCAACCCGAGCCCTTAGAGATCAACTGTGATTCCAACATTTGTTATTTCGGACTTAATTGTCAGACTATCAATTAACAATGAAGAAGAAATAATGGAACATCTAGGACTCTAGAAACTTGAAGGGAAAATTAGCAGATGTTTATTAAAATTATGTATGTTCAGCACTTACCACTGTTTTAATTAAGTAGTATAATTGGAAGGCGAAAATCTTATTTCGGGTTTATCCTGAAAAGGTGATTAAGGCTGTGACGTTTCTTCCTTCTGTCTAACAACTTAAGTGTGGAGAAACTTAGTGAACAGCTAAGCAAATAATCGTTTAAGTTCAGTTACAGAAACATAAATCTCAAGAAGGTTTAATTTGCTCCAAATAAACATATATAGTTGGCCCCTTTCTCAAAGCCTTCACTGGGGCTTAAATTCAGAAGTGTAAGAAATAAGAATTTAACTAAGAACTAAAGAGATTTAGCCGAAGCTAACACAAATTTAACTAGTTGGTCCCTAAATATCGAATTAGCTAGCGAAGCTTTCAAGGGCCCATAATACAGCCGACCGTAGTAACAGCTTAGAGAGACGTGGTCAAAAGGCAAACGCGCTAATCAAGAACTCTGATTCTCTCTCTTGAAGTCAGTGGACTTCGACTTAAATACTATTCATTTGCATTAAGCACGATTCTAAAAACAAATTCTGGTAGGAAATTGTAAGCTGAAATTAGGATAGATAGGAAAGGAGCTTTAACTTAAAAGTGTTTATTAAAAACTTAGGATAAACCTTACAAGGCATTGACTAAAGATATTACTTATTCAAGAAAAGGATTAATTGAAAGAAAAAAATTGTTCAAATCCACGTATTTTACACTGAAAAGTTCATAAAACTTTTACAAATTACAGTTTTACAAAATCGAATCTTATTGTGCTAAGCTAAATATGAGGCAGACTTTCCACTATCTACCGAAGTACATGAAATGTATCTTAATCTCAAACTTACGAGACTAAAGAATTTCACAGAAAATTTTTTGTATACCTTTTGTTCAGGAAAACATGTAAATAGTAGCCGAGCTTGCTTTAAATACCAAAGTCACAAAAAGAACACACACAAAACTGGAAACAGTAATTTTCGACATTAGGGAAAATATGAACTTAAAAAGCACAAATAGATATTTACCAACACAAATTGTAGGATTTCCATGCATTACTGTCTGAGAAAACATCTGAAAAATTAAAAATTGGTGATATCATGAATTGAAATGACAAACTAAATACCTTAAACGGAAGGAAGTCGAGGAACTTTTGACGAAGTTTATGAGTGAATACAGGGTTTGTTCAGGAAGTAGTAGGACTGATTTTTCCCCACCAAAAGATGACAAAGGAGGGGGATGTTACTGTGCTTGTTGGGTTGTGAAGGATCATAGCTACTTTCAAGGTGCCTTGTCATCTCCACAATGAATCATTTGTTAGATCAGTGTTGCGCAGTGAAATTTTGCATCAAACAGAGTGAGATCCATGACATGATCAAGACTGCTTATGGGAGTGAGGTCGATCAAGTGTTTTTGAATGGCACCAATTGTTTCAGGAGGGAATTTGAAGTTGATTTCGGAAGAGCAAGTTGAGGATGAGTAACAGTCAGGACGCCCTTCAATGGCAAAAAGTGACCAAAACTTAGTAAAAAAGCAAAATCTTTTGAGCTCCGTCTGCCTCGGACTCAGAAAACGAGTCACCCTCGCCTGTCCAGCAAATCGCTTGACCATGGAGGCTTTCATTACAACAATGTGCGAGCCCAAATTGCCTTTGCTGCCATGGACCTCCCTGACTAACATGGCATCACACAGCTTCCTAGCCACTCCATAGCCCGGAAGTCGCTCCTTCAGACTTCTTCCTCTTTCACCAACTGAAAAGGGTCACGAAAGGAGGCACCACGACTCGGTCCAGGCCATTCAAGAGGCCGTAAAGAAGAAGCTGAAGAACATTCCAGTTTCTGCATTCAAGGGAGCCTTCAGTGATTCGCAGAGTCACCGAAGGCACTGTGTTGTTGCAGAAGGGACATATTTTGAAAACTATTAAATCGATGTGTAAAAACCGTAAATAATTTTAAAAAAAATTCAGTCCTACTTCTTTCCAAACAAACCCTGTATGCACTTTTTAGAAACTTTTAAAATGCAAAATATGGCATTGGAAAAAACAGAAAGTACCTGCAAGGCACTTGGATATTCCAGTGACTGTGATTAAATTTTCATCTTATTTAAAAATACTCTGGCGGATTTTTTTATTTCAATTTAATGACAAGTAAATGAAACAGACGATTTATTCAATTCCAACAGATATGAAATTTTATGTAAGTAAATTAATATATTGTATTATCATTAAGCCCTGACGCTAAAATTATGTTATTTTTAAGGGTTCTATTAACCTCGAACTATAAGCCTTTCTGTCCATCATGAGATGGGTTCTAGATATATTTAACATGGACTTAAAAGTCAACATTTTTATATAGTATACAAATAAGATGAACACTTTAGTATAACATGAACAAAATAAATATAATTTTCATTAAGTTAGTAATATAATATTTCGCCGGTGTACATCGTGTAACATCTATTATTGTGACGCTCTTTTCTTCTTCTGTAATTTCGACTCTGTGTCACATGAGAGAAAGGTGAAAACACATGTAATTCGGCTAAAGAGCACATGCATGATGTTCATGAAATCATCACACTTTCGAAAGAGATAACATTAATGGCACTGTAAACTTTGTCAGAGAATAAATAATACACTCATGACCTAAGAAATACAAATCGCTTTATATATTCCAGATTTTGTTCCCTTAAAATTAACTCATTCAATTATGAAATCAAACACAACTGTCACCCAGACGGTATAGTGGTTAGGGGAGTCTACTACGGTACCAAAGGGCCTGGGTGAGACATGGATGCTTGTAAATGTATAGTGTTGGTGCGGCATGGCTGCACTCTAAATATGTGGCGAGCCGAAAGTCTTCTCGTGTGGTTTGGTGGAAGGGGTGGGAGATCCCCGGGATGCTCTTCCTCAAAATTGGGGGTGGAAAATAAAAATGTAACACGGACAAGACAACAACAACATCAAACACAACTGGAAGGTAACTGGAAAACGATATGTGAAAGAAGATAAAAAGAGAAATACTATTAGGCTAAAGAATTCTTCAAATTCAATTTTATAATGAATATTACTTACTCCATAGCTGGCCAGTGGTCCGTCCGAGAGCGATATCTGGCCAACACGACATCGGTCTCTGTTGTTCAGGGACTCTGGAGTGCTATATCCCCCTCGAAGTCCAGCTCCTTCTGCAAGAATCAGTTCTAATTCTGGCGTGGCTCCACCCGTAATCAAGGAACGAATCAGAGTTAGGGCATTGGCGTTGAAATACGTCTGAAAAGTGAAGCATATAAAAATTTATTTTGGAAACGTTCAGATAATTCCATGTTTTGCAAAACTTCTGCGTCGAGATCTGACGCATCTAGATGTTGATTCACAATATTTTTTCTCAGCATAATTTTTCAATTCACAACAAATATTAGTCATCTGTAACTGCATCACACTATTAATGTGGACATCCCATAGCTTGTATTAAAATATAAATGACATTGCCAAAAATTAATTAAATAAAGAAGAAAGTTGGAATGTTAATACAAAAGTTGTTCCTTGGGCTTTAGAAGCATTATTAGTCCAAAGGGGCTTTGTCCCTGAAGGACTATTGTTTTCGTTTTGCGATTTTGCGTCGGACTCATAAACGTCGGTTCACTTTTCAAACTGTTGCCACAAAATGTTAGAGTCCTGCATTATATTTGAAGAAATTAAATAATGAAAAATCTGCATAAATGATTGTCTATTTCTCGCATTGTGATAAAACAATGGTACATAGAGCCATCGAATTTTGAATGACGAAATCCTACTGCGAATATGGGCATCTGAAATCCCAAATTTGGAATTTGTTTTATTATAGATTTTATATTTTGTAAAACTTTAACGAATTTTTAATTTACAAACTCAATGCTTTAAAAGCGAGAAATGGCAACGTTATATAAAAAAAAAAAAAAAAAATACTTTTATCTCCAGCTCGCGAGACTGTGTATATCGGAAATTCTAAAGATATGCTTAATTTAACATTATTTTGCGATATTGCTCTTGAACTGAATTTTATGGTGCAAAGAACATGATATTTAATAAATAAAGGTAACACTCAAAACGTTAAAAAAACGCCCCTTTGGACGTAATTTAAAATCTGAAACATTTCAGATTTTTTTTTTTTTTTTTAAATTTGTAATGCTATTTATATTTTGCAGCATTTGTTTTATTAATTTTTCCCGTTCCTATGAATCAGTTCATACTTACATAATATAAAGAGATATAATGTTAGCTATTATTACAAGGTGATTAAAAATATTTGACAGAAATACAGAGAGAAAGGGGACTGAAATAAGCATATTTTGTAATAGAATAGGTGTGAAGATGATACATCCCGCTGTTGAGCGAGAAATAAAAGTATTCCATTTTTGTAAATTGTCACTCTCAGAATGGATTTTGAGCGGTATGATCGCCACAAGAACATAGAGACCCCTGACATGCATTCTGTGTATGGGCCAGCAGCTAAAATGTAGCGGATACTAAAAAAGAGGTGCAGTGAAAAATTCTCCTACGTCTATTGAGATTTCTGCCGCTACCCCTATAGACAGAATACATGCTAGTGTGCTCCGAGTCCATGTGGCAAAGCATACCGCTCGAAAACCACATGGAGAGTAACGTATTTACCACAAAACAGATTTAATCAGCAAACTAAAGAGCAGGAACCTGATTTTAAGGCAATTTTTGTAATTGCAAATATAAATGTAAAAGAAAACAAATCATTTTATGATGGAAATTATTAAAGTTATGTCCTGATATTAAAAACAAATTTGAGAATTTGAATTTACCTCGGAGAACCTCTATAAGATGATTTGAGTGCATCGATAAAAATTTTAAGTGAGCAATTATTATCGATTTCTCAGTTCATAATATGAAACTCCATAGCTGTGGACGAAAGTAATGACTAGACAAGCATTGTATAATTCTAGGCGTGGGCGCACCTCTAAATTTGAAATTAGGAAGACCTCCTTTTGGGGGGATCACTTCAAAATAATGGAGGCTATATGTTTACAAAAAGTCAACAATTTTTTTTTTTTTTTAAAAAAGAGAGACTTTTCGATATAACAAACTGGCAAGTTTCACAATCGATAGAGCACTAAGTTTGACAGGGAAAAGTGTTGGTGCATTAAAGAAAATTCAGTCAGGATAAATATTGCGAAAATTTACTGTGATTAGAATTTAATTACTGTTCATTGTATAATAAATCAACGCACATTCTGTAAACATTTGATAAAAGTTGAAACATTTCACATTTTGCAGTATTAATCTTGTAAATTTAATACAATCAGGAGACCATTAACACACAGATGATTCACAGTTTAGATGAGTTAGATTACTTAAAACATAGACAATTCGTCAATTTCCTTGCGACTTATTTACAATATCGATTATTATAAGCAGTTTTAAGAATCTTCACTATGAAATGAACACCTATAAAACATTATTCATCTCATTAAATTATTTGCTGTTAGAAACTTATTAGTCCAAAGGGGCTTTCTACCTGACGGACTATTGTTTTCGTTTTGGGATTTTGCGTCGAATCCTTCGGACTTTGTTTTACTTTTCAAACTGTTGCCACCCAATATTATCACCTGTATTATATTTGAAGAAATTAAATAATGAAGAATCTGCATAAATGTATGTTTCTTGCATTGGGTGAAAACCAACGGTACCTGAAACCATCCAATTTTGATTGACGTAATCCTACTGTGAATATGGGCACCTTGGAAGCCCACATTTGAAATTTGTTTTATTATCGATTTCATATTTTTGTAAACCTTTAACGAATTTTTGATTAACAAACTCGAGGATTTCAAAGCGAGTAATGGCAACGTTGTACAGAAAGAACATTTTTATCTCCAGGACGTGAGACTGTGTATTGGAAATTCTAAAGAAAGGCTCATTTAAAAATTATTTTGCGATCTTGCTCTTGAACTGAATTTTATAAACCATAAAGTGCGAAGAACATAATATTTAATAAATAAAGGTAACACACAAAATGTTAAACAAACGCCCCTTTGGACGTAATTTAAAATCTGAAACCTTTCACATTTTCTTTTCCTTTAATTTAGAATTCAGCTTTCTTGACGATAACAATTTATATCTAAAAATATTAATTTATTTGTGGCCATCGCCTTTTTTCCCCTTAATCCATAATGTACCTCTTTGGTGGAAAAGTTTGTCCACATGTCATCAGAAGCAGATCTCATGGGAAGGACTTATATTGTGAAAGAACTGCAGTATTTTCTTAGGATATAAACTCAAATTCGTGTTATAAAATTATTGGATCATCTCATAAATAATGCTTTCTTTATATACTTATTTCATTTTTCTAAATTAAGGTAATAATTTTTTTTTTTAAATTTAATATATGCTGTCCTTCATCCTCTGATATAATTTGATACTTTATAATAGGACATTCAAGGTTATTTTATGCTACACGTTTTGTATCGTAGCTATAGAAACAACAGCTGCGGGAAAAAAGACGACTCGCTTTACCCCCCCCCCCCATTTTATTTCCGTTTGATATCTCTTTTCATGAAAAGCATGCGGATGAAGGCTTGACTGGATGTATAGTCGCAAACATTGTGAAAAAGTGAATGCTGTCAGGTGACGACACAGACAGATTGCAAATGAGCGGCGGGCTGGCAATGGAATAGAACTGCATATTTTAAAGTAATAGATTTATATCGACCAATAGTTACGATGGGTTTCCACCAGAGTTTTGCAATACTTTCTCGTCAAGCGCTGCGGACCTTCCCAAAAGAAGCTTGTCTTCTAGTCTGTAGTTTTCCGCTAGGAGTTTGTTTAACACCATTCACTGTAGTTTATGCTTATTGCCCGATTCCCTATACTACATTTTTATTCCCATTAATAATTATCGATTATTTTTTAATTGAGTTCATAAAGCAAAATATGTCGAATGTGCTCTTCTGACACTTCCAATTAGCTTTGAAAAAAATAATTTTGGAAATCGAACTGCATTTTTCAAAACTTGCACTAAGAATTGAGCTACGAAAGATAAAATTATTACCAGCTTAAATATCAAATTAATGCAGGCGATTTATCCCTCCTTCTCCGACTTTTAGTTCAACTGAAACAAGTAATATAAAATAAATGTCTTTAGAGTAAATTCCTACTTATGTCAACAAAGAAACATTTTATTTTAGTTACTTTTTTTTATTAAAATGTTTTTGTTTTCTAATTTATGAAGCTGATGGTGATCTATAATTTCTCATTCTATCCATCTCTTCTAATGCATTATTGCAAGGAACCTTTCCAGCGAGTTTCGAGCAGTCCAGTTCTTCAATTACTAATGTTCCATCTAATGATTTCACACGACTCCAGGCGACATACGCTTAACCTGCTGCAAAGAGTTTTCGTCCTAGATATATTACTGCATAATCTACACTGCTGTTTATTTATTTTAATCAGCGAGGGACATTTTAAAGGGTTATGTTTTAAAACACATATTATTATCACGTATGAACATAGAAATATGAGGATAACATAGAAATATGAGGAGAATTTTCGCTACATACTGGGACATTCCATCCGCTTCATCCGACTCTGTAAAACTACAATTCTTTAATTCCATACACTTTAAAAATCTCTATAACTCTGTCTTATTGTTGCCACTTATTTTTGCTAAATATTACAGTCCCATTGATCACAGTCATGTACTATTGTTTATGAAATTAATTTTTACGCATGTGAGAATTCCAGTAAACGGTCATTATTTGTAAGTCTTATAATACAGCCTATCTTGAGTTCCGATAAACAGGAATCAACAAGTAGGAACTGACTTTAATATGTGAAAAAACTGTATTAACATCGAGTGTCATCCACTCCAAGTTTAAAAAAATGTGGTGGATGAATAAAAAGTATTTTATTAACGACTGAAAATTTGAACAAGATATAGTGAGAGTGTAAGCTAATAGTAGGAATTGGAAAAAAAAAAAAAAAAAAAAAAAAAAAAAAAAAAATCGCATTGTTTATAGTAGGATGATCCAATATCAGGAAGTTCATATATCCCACTAACCGTATTTAGTTTGAATCTATGTGAGACAGTTTCCATAGTTTTCTCTTGGCCACCCAGATGGTATAGTGGTTAAGGGAGGGACTTTACGATAAAGAAGGGCCCAGGTTCCGAATCCTGCAGACGGCATGTTTGTAACTGTTCGTCCCCCTCCTGTGGAGCGGTGTCAAAACACCTGGGCCCTACCCCAGATAGAAAATTTGAGCTGTTCTTAATTATGCAGACCAACAGTTCACATTAAAGTGCGAAAAAATGAATAAAGAATTTAGAAGAGTTAGCAATTTGTAAAAATATGAAGAAATATACTTAATGGTTGTAAGTTGTGCATCTAGAAAAACATTCGAGCTGGTGACTTGAATATAAATAATTACAGTAGATTATAACATGGTAAAGTGCAAAACTTATGGTGACAAAATTAATTATGAAAAGATTTACAACACTGGTAAATTAAGGGGAAAACTGAGTGAGAGAATTACTACCAAAACCGAGAATATATAAATATTCCATAAATAGGGGTACATAACTTTTTTTTAAATAAAAATATGAAAGTTGAACAGTATTAATTGGCGTTATTCACGAAGATTTCCTCAAATCACTACATAGTATAAAACAAAGTCGCTTTCTCTGTCCCTATATCCCTATGTATGCTTAAATCTTTAAAACTACGCAACGGATTTTGATGCGGTTTTTTTTAATAGATAGAGTGATTGAAGATGAAGGTTTATATGTGTAATAACATCCATTAAATAGTGGAGAAATACTCTTATTTTTGAGGTTTCTAATGGGATGTCGTAAATAATTACATTTTTTCCGCTTGCATTGCAAACGCAGGCTGAACCCTACGAGATTTATCAAAATAATGTACTAAGTATTGTACACATTGAAAAGGTCTACAGATTTAAAAATTGCGGGACGTAGCGTTTGCGGCGGTACCGGCCGGCCGGGGCGGCGGGAGCGTGCCTATAAATAGCGCGTCGGAGGCCGCGGTTCTCCCTATAGCACTTTGAATTTAGCAGCGATCGGACGCGTTTATTATCGGAGCTCTCTAGCGAAGAAAATAACAATACACTTAATAAAAAAGTGCTTTCAGCGCGACAACGTATCAGTTAGGCAATCACATTACTACGCATTCACTAATGACAAGAAAGCTGTGAACGTTGTATATAAAGACATTCTGTAATATATTAATTGTTGTAAAAATAAAATAAATAGGTAAAAATGTAAAAAGTAAATAAGTGAAAATGTAGTGTATGAATTTAGATATTCCAAAGATAGCAGGAAATCTTCATGGTATAAGGAAAGGGGAATTGTTTTACTCCAAATTTAACGCGTGCGGGCCACGGGCAGTAATGAATAAATCAAAACAACTGGATCGATTTTAATCATTTTTTCAGTGAGTGACATAGGCTATATATTTTATACCCGTGCGAAGTCGGAGCGGGTCGCTAGTAGGTTAAATACACTCATGTCCATAAATTAAGGATAATGCAAAATCAAGCAAAGAAAGAGTTAGAAGCAAAACAAATTTGACTTATTTGTAAAGCTTATTTATTAAACAAAAGGTAAAGAGCAAAAAAAAAAAAAGATACTATATGTTTGATATTATTAAAAAAATTAGCGATTTTTTCTCCCTGGAGCAAATTACAAAAAAAAAAAAAAAAAAAAAAAAAAAAAAAAAAAAAAAATATTTACAAAAAACCAATATTACATGGTTGGTATGATTGTTAATACATTGTATGTCTCCCAGACGATGCAATACAGTCCGTACAACGCCTAGGCATGCTGAGTATCAAATTATCCATCTGACCTTGGGGGATATTACACCACTCAAAAAGCAATGCTCTCCAAAGTTTCGGTAGACATGTAGGATAGGTTGACGGGCTGCAACTCGTCGGCCAAGCATGTCCCACACGTGCTCTACTGGATTCAAGTCCGGTGAGAATGCTGGCTAGTCTATACGGTGATATCCTCCGATTGAAAGCATTCGCTTACGATGTTTGCACGGTGAGGACGGGCGTTGTCCTCCATAAACACAAATTGTGCGCCCACGGCGCCCCGAAACAAACATACATGTTGTTCCAGAATGACGTCCCGATAGATTTGGCTTGTCATGGTTCCAATTTGAACATGCAGGTCAGTTCTGGAACCCAGAATAATTCCACCCCAAACGAGCACTCCTGCACCACCGTAAGGGTGTCGTTCAATGATGTTTTCTTGGTGGTAACGGGTACCTGGAGCTCTCCATATGAAAGTCCGGCGAGAATCAGACTGCAAGCTAAACCTGGACTCGTCGGAAAACATCACACAAGCCCACTGTTGCGGTGTCCACAATGCATGCTCTCTACTCCAGGCTAACCGCAGGCGACAGTGAGTTGCAGTAAGTGGAACGCATCTGACAGGTCTACGAGCATATAGACCAATCTGCCCTAAGCGTTTGTACACGGTCTGCCTTGAAATTGTCGTACCAGTGGCTGAAGAGAGCTGACGAGACAGGTCTGAGGCTCTGCCAAATACCGGTCCTCATTCGGCGTTGTAACTCTGGGACGACCTGTGCTGTAACGTCTATTCACATTACCATCATCTTGGAATCGTTGCCAAAGCCTGGAGATGACACTCTGGGCAATTCCAAGTTCGTCTGATACTTCCAGTTGGGTACGCCCACATTCCAGACGGCCGATAATTCTACCACGTAAAAAATCATCCAAATTGCGTCCTTTGTGTCATAACTATTCGGTTATTGCACTGAAATGCTTACAAAGGCCTGCGAACAATTTTACTTCTTTGCCTGTATTCCTTATATATCACTCTCTTACACTCTCGTCATTGTGACGTACCATCAGTGTCATCTAGTTACTTCCTGAAATTTTGCATACGGATTCTTGAAGATGTGTGTAGGGACTTTACAGGTGATATATTTATTTTAGAGTTCGATTTCAGCGTGACTCCGAATTACCCTTAATTTATGGACATGAATGTAAAATAAACATTTTATCAATAGAATTGTTAGCTGCCTGAATTTCAGGTATTACAGCTGGGATTTTTTGGAGAATATTAGCAATGGAAAAACCTTTGAACGTGTTGTACATTTCTTTTACTAATTTAAATATATCTGAGAGAGCATTTATGCCAACTTCTTTAGTTTTATCCTGTTTTTGGCCTTTTTTCTTAACCCCAATCGTTGCATAATGTGCAGTGTTAAGACCTTGGGTGATGTTTGCATAATAAATTCCAGGAGTAACTGGGGTGGATTTCACCTTATTGACTTCCTTACTGATATTCAGAAGCGTAGCTATGGTTTTCAGCGCCCGCGGGCAACTGAAGATTGTGCGCCCTTTTCTGTGTGCCAAGAATGGAAAACATTGCATTCTAACATTTTGTGACATCAATTTTGCGCCCCCTGGATGCTGCGCCCGGGGGCAGATGATCCCCCTTGCCCCACCCTAGCCACACCACTGCTGTTATTACTAGTATTTCTAACTATTTTCGGGAACTTTGGACAACTGTCCGTCCGTTCATAGGAGGTAATGGTTGCCGCCTAAGAGTGGCCAATGTTGAAAAAAGACAAAATAGTGCCCACCGCTCGAGGGAGGGGAGGATTCTCTAGATAGTTCTTCTTTGCACGCTTCTTTACACGTACGTTAATTCGCAATCTAAGTAAGATGTTTAGGGAGATTTCTCCAAATCCAAAACATGTTTTATGAAACTATTCTCTAGAAATCTTCGAAAACTATATACACTTGAAAAACTACGTAAGTAAAACATACTAACTTACCGTACTCATGAGCGAGTCCAGAACGGACACTGCAAATGCCGTGCCGCATGCAAATGGTTGTGTTAGGTACAGCTCTGTGTCTGGATCATCGTCGTCGTCTTGGTCCAGGAACTGAACGTTCGTGTCGTTCACTGAAATGAAATGACATCTTAATATCGATCAAAATTACTTATATGAACCAAAATATGAATCGACCGATTTTACTTTGATAAAAAGTATTCACAGCGAAGTATTATATTAAATAACATTCTTCGAGTCCAAAGACAGGCTTCCATATCAAAAAAGCATATCAGAACTGATATGAATCAGTTTTGATATGATTTGAACTTCAAAACGTACTCAAATCAAAACTGATTCCAAGTTTCTCAAATGGGATCTGGGTGGTGTACCGTAGGAGAACACACGGGGAATGTTCCAGATATGTCTGATTCGTCCCCACAATTACCCCCCCTCCACACACAACCAGTTATTATCTTCCATTGGGCTGTTTCCTTTGCGTAGATTATGTTTTCTGCCGCCTGACCAGTATAGTGCTTAGCATCGCTGAATGCTGCGCCAAAGGGCCCGGGTTCGAATCCCGGAGAAGGCACGGATGTTTGTAAATGTATAGTGTCGGTGCGACATGGCGGCACTCTGAATATGCGGCGAGCCAAAAGTCCTTTCGTGTGGTTTGGGGAAAGGGGAGAGGGGTCCGTAACCCTAGGAGACGACAGGCGTAATCTAGCGCTCCTTGCCATGAGGAATTTCGTGGGCTTGGACTGAATACGTCAGACAAGTGACCATAAACAACAACAGCAACATATGTTTTCTGAGAGCTCTCCTCACCTTCTAGCAGATGATTGATTTGTAACGCTGAAAACTGAAAACCATTCTTTAGTTGGAATGAATATCACCGGAAGTTTTCAGTTTTAAAAGACGAGATGCTGTCAGTCTTGCAGAGACTGGAATGTATTTTGATTGGAAGTGATTGATAGACATAATATTATTTCTTTAAAATGTGTGAAAAAAAAATTATCATGGAAGAAACGCCATCACTGACAATGCCATTTTCTTTTGGATGCGCATTCAAAGCACATTTTGACTTATAACGGTACTTTACAGGAGACTGGCAAGCTAACAGATGCTTAGAATGTGGCGCTAGACTTAACACTGCCTCTTCTGTTTGCTCTTAATTAGGAAAATAAGATAATTTTCTTCCCTACAGGTTGTTCTCCTTCATGGGCTGAGCTGGTAGAACATTATTATTAAGTCAATTATTGTGTATACGAACTTAAATCCTTGCCTCCTGAATTTAATCCTGTTAACGAATGCATTGCTGTCAGAAAAATACTTCTACATCTCAAATTTTGGAAGAACTGTGAGGAAATTTTGCAGACACTCTGGCCTTTGTTAGAAAGTAATACGCTAAGGATCGTGTATCACTGTCAGTTTTTAAATGCTCTGAAGGATTACCATTCTTGGTATTGGCAGACTGTCATTTTAGGGTTTATAAATACAGGACTAGCGTAAATGATTCCTTCATTTTGAAAAGGCTATATTTTCAAAAGTATTACGTGTACAAACATGAAAAATATAAAAAAAGAACCATAAACTCACTAAGTTTTTTTTTTCACTATTTTACTAATTTTTCCGGATAAGTGGAACGTTGCTTCATCGTTGAATATCAACTTGGGTGGCGAAAATTTTGTCCTCCAATGCTGCATGTTGACACAAAAATCTAATCGACGGGCGTAATCCTCCGCCTTTAAAAGGTGTATAAACTTGGCGAAATTGTGGTTCTTTTCATATAGCTTTCATGTGCGTACGTGAAATACCGTATTTGCCGGCGTATAAGGACGCACCTCCTGTTTTATACACAGTTTTGAAGGATAAAACTTATTTATTGATCATTATAATGAATTTACATCATTTTAAATATAAATACAAATGGCAAAGTGATACTTTCTGCAAACACCCAATCTATCTGGGAAAGAACACCTTTTATCTTCTTCGTCCAAACCCAGACACTCATCTCCAGAGCTAAATGAAGAGTCACTTGAAACCTCAGCCTCCGAGTCTTCATACAGCAAATTGTCCTCTGTGCCATCCAGTGCATTACAAATGCCACACTTCTTAAACGATTTAACCACTGTCTGTGTTTTCACAGCATCTCGTGAAGCTTTGACCCATTCACAGACTTGCTAGGTGCTAGTCCTTCCTGACGGTGTAACCTCAAAACTTGAAGACTGCATTCAGCTGTTCCAATTCTCCTTCATAAATCCCTTAAATGGTTTATTAATGCAGACATCTAAAGGTCGAAATTGACTAGTTAGGCCTCCTGGAATTATACCCGAGTTTTTAATTCTTTAGAGTTTATTTTTAACATCTTCTGTTCTGCGAGAACGAAATTGATCCCATACTAATACGGCAGGTTTTTTTCAACAGGGCGCCTCAACCAATTTGTATCTATCCATAATTTCATTCCTCCTCCATCCAACCAGCCTTTTGCGTGAACATGTATAAATATTCCTTTAGGCAACTTTTCTTTGGGTAGTGTCTTCCTTTTAAAAATCAAAACTGAGTATCGACGTATCAGACGCAGTATCGACGTAGGAAACGAACCCCGTTTTTCAGATCTATTTTCAAAGAAAAAAAGTGCCTTTTTTACGCCGACAAATACGATACTTTTGAAAATATAGCCTTTCCAAAACGAATGAATCATTTATGAAATACCCTGTATTTCTCTTTTGTTTCGAATGCGTTATGGGAAATAAACGTGTTTGAAAAAGATTTGAATGATGCGGCAAAGATTTGTTTACAAAGCGATTCTTCAAGTTTCATTCCAGTGAACTATTTATTTAAGCTACAAAGAGTTTAAAAACCATAAAAAATTCAATAGAGTTTGTAAAAAAGGTTAAAAACATTTCTCCTAGTAATTTACTCATGGTTTCTTTTGATGTAAAATCATTATTCACCAATGTCCCAGTGGAGGGTGCATTAAGATGTCTAGAAACCAGACTTCGCGAATTTCATTTCTCTTGCATCGAAATTGATGAGCTAATTTCTCTCACTCAACTCTGTTTGAAACAAACACATTTTGTTTTCCAAAATAATATTACAAGCAAACTGAGGATTAGCCATGGGAAGCCACCCTCAGTCCCATCCTGGCTGATATCTACATGCATTATTATGAATCAAAATTGTACTTGAAACTTTAAACTTCCCGGCATGGTTCCGCTACGTAGACGATACTTTTACCCTAAAAGTTTGAAGATGTAATAAAGATGATTTAAATAAAGTTCTTTCAACAATGAATTCTATTGATCCTTGCTATTCAGTTCACTTTTGAACTTGAGACTTGCAATTCTCTTCCGTTTTCTCGACATTCTGGTCACACATAACACCATCCAACTTCAGTACTACGAGTTTACCGTAAACCTTTCATTCGGTTTGCCTTCCAACCACACTTTAAATCATGTCATCAGACTAAACAAAAGTTAGCTTCATTTTATTCCTATGTTTTCCGTGCTCTTCAAGTTTGCTCCTCCAAACTAGCCCTTGATGAAGAACTAAATTATTTAAAAAGCAATAGCTATTGACAGGGGCTTTTCAGCCAACATTATTAATCAAGCAGTTTAGCAGTTAAAAAATTCTCATCTCAACACACTAAAAGCCACACTCTTATTTTAGGAGATTATAAAAATTCTGTTGTCATTCCCTTCTTTCCATCAATTAGCTATAAAGTTGCACATATTTTGCAGAAATTTAACTTTCGGGTTGTTTATTCTCCCATCAATAAAATTCCAACTTCTATACTCAAGGACCCCATTCCGGATATGAATTCCTGGGGTATTTATAGGATTCCTTGCCAGTGTGGTTTAATTTACATTGGCCAAACTAGGAGAGCCTTAAAATTTCGCGTCAAAGAACATGAGGCATATGTTAGAAAAAAGAAAACACAGAAGTCTTCTGTTGCTCAACATTGTTGGTCCGAAAATCACACTTTCAATTTTTCTGCTGCCAAAATTATTCAAAAAACATCTTCCATTGGAGAACTGGATTTTCTAGAGGCATTTCACATTCATAAAAATCTTTCTGTTTTAGTTAACGATCCTAATTCCAATCCAAATTTGCCTTCGGCTTTTAGAGAAATTATGTTTTAGTTCTGGTTTCGCCAACAGATGGCGCCACTTGCTTATTCTTGTCCAGGCTTTCTTATCTAATCATTATTTCCTATCTTGTTCATTTGCGGTTTTGCAGCTGAAGATGGTGGTTCGGTAAAACCATCGAAAACGCTGGAGATAATTTTTTCCCGAGTTGCCATGGCTCGGTTTGAAATCGTTCAGTTTGATAATCAAAAATTCGTTAAAGTCTTACAAAATATGAAACCGATAATAAAACAAATTCCAAGGCTTCCAGATGCCCATATTTGGGTGGATACGTATGTTATCCAAAGTTTGATGGCTCTAGGTACCGTCGTTTTATCACAATGCGAGAAACATACATACATTTATGCAGATTTCCTCATTATTTAATTTCTTTAAATATAATATAACACAGGGCTGTAATGTTTGGTGGCTACAATTTGAAAAGTGAATCAACGCAAAATACCAAAACGAAATTAATAGTCTTTCTGGGCAAATAGCCCCTTCGGATTAACAAACCAACAAAGATACGACTCATGATCCTATGACCATGAAACTTTAGCATTCACACTATACCCGACATGAAAGTAATAGCTGTTAATTATAATAAATCAAAATAATAAATAACTAAGAAACACATATACACACATCTTAAAGCTGAAACTTTATTTCGTGAACAAAAAAAGAATAAAACACTAAACATAAATGGCCACTTTTCTCCCTATCTTTATTAATAAAATCCATAAGAGCCTGAGCAAATTCAATTGAAAAATAATATGACAAATAACTAATTTATAATCTTTGTACTTATTTCTTAAAAATTCTGCAAATTGGCTCAATGTAGTGCCCGTTATCGCCAAAAACACCATAGTATATAGTTTACCTTAATTTATAATTTAATCCTTTCAAGGTATGCCGAGTCCTTGCCATGCCAGAATTAGATTTAGCTCAGTATCCTTACATTTCATTCACACAGACTATGAGAAGTTTAAGCCGATCACGTTCCCCCGGCGGAGTCAGATTTAACGCATACAGTACACTTACAATACACCCCATCTGAAGAAAAAACCCTGCCCATTTGCACAGATTGAAACCTACTGCGTACTTCAAGGAAGAGAAGTGTTCAAAACTTGGGAAAGACGCCTAGAGTGAAAAATTCCCGTCTTTTAGACAGAGCTTCTTGCGCTAAAAGCAGCAATCAAGATGAACACATTTCACAGAGCTGAAAAGATAACTATATTTAGCGCCTCAGCCTCAAGCTTGGAAAAATTCGAGTGCAAAGAAGTTAGAGTCCAACAGTACATAACATACAAAAAATTCTTTTTAAATTTTAACGTTTCCATCAAATGACAGACCCAGTCTGGTCTGGGTTTCCGTACATGTGAAATTAGCTGGGAACGAAGTAGCAGACGTAACGTTAAATCTGCAGCTAACGATCCTAATCGACTCGAAAACCCATCCAGCATGGCACAGTCATATTTGAAGAGAATTACGCTAAATTATCTAGCACAGGAGTGGCGAAAAAGATAGAACTGTGAAAATACAGGAAGTTCCTAAAAGCGGTTCTTCCCAAAAGTTTCATGGGTTACAAAGACACATAGTGGGCACAGATCCAATCGTACACGGGCCATGAACCCTTTCCCTATTGCCATTATAGATTTAGAAAACGAGAGAGACTAATATGAATGTGTAGAGGTAGGTGACCCAAAACAGTGCCTTTTCAACACAAAGAATGAGCATCTACAATCCATAGCGGTGCCTACTGGCCGCTGTGGGGCGAGAATACATGTGAAAATAAGCAGGCCGAACGTCAGACTGAGAACATTTTTGGATTGTGCAGTAAAATATTAACCCTTTGCACTGACTCTCGGTCACCACTTGATTTGATGGTGATTCTCCATCACCACTAGGTTTAATGCGATAATTCGGGCGGTAATGATATTTATTTAAGTTTGGTTTGGGCAATACCGCTTCATGACTGTATTCAACAATACATGCGTATAAAATAACTGCCAATTCTTACTCTTAAATAAGTTTTTTTTTCTTTCCTTTTTTTTAAAAAAAGGAAAGGTTTATACATGCGTTTTCGACGTTAGTTCGAATTCGACAGTCGCGGCAACAGCAGTATTATTTTGAAAGTTACGGAGCCCACTGAGCATGGAATATGATAAAGAAATCACTTTAAGTGAAGATGAACTCCATTTTTCGTTGACGAAGAATGAAATTACGTATATGCATAAACTACTTGATGACAAAGAGAAGGTAAGCAGTGACGAAGATAGCGATGAAGTAAAAAGTGAAGTAAGGCGAAAAGTCGGTGTAATCGAACAGTGAAAATGAAAGCGACAGTGATTCAGCAGGAGAAAGAGAAAATTCAGAATGGAGAACGTGCACAGAAACGGAAGAAATGCTGCAAAGATATTATGTTTGTATTCTTTCAATTATGTGTGAAACAACTTTAAATTAGCTGTAAGAAATTCACGAAATATGTGGAAAATCGTCTCGAGTTGCTGACTTGCCCAAGCGAAAAAGAGCCTCGAGTTTCGGACTCGAGACTCTCTTTTGCTTGGGCGAGTCAACAACTCGAGACTCGGTGCTCGAGTGTTACCACATCTTCAATATTAGTTGCAATAACTCAATGTATCATCACAAAGGTACCAGGAACATCAGTCTAGCATCATCACTTTCTGAGTCAGAAATGTGTTGAGTTACAAACTATTGGGATAAAGCACAAGTTAATCGATTCGTAATGCAGTATAGAAAAAGAACATTGTAAGTATAGCTACAATGCGAAAAAAGGGGGGGGTACAGTTCTATATCTCCCGTTCTACAGGGCAGATTGACGAAATTCAAATTGGGTTTATCATATCTCGAAAGCGAGACTTAGGATATGTATTAGATTTATATAAAGCATTGCTCTAAGATAGGTATTTTGACACAAAATCGGACTTTTTTCTGAAACGACATGCCAATTTTTTCCAAATTTCGATTCTACGACTCAAAATTATGACAAACTGCCATGTCTTCGCTACAAAAATCTAATTCTCTTAGTAATTATCTACATTAATTTCACGCTAAATCTTAATTTGGAATGCAAGTTTAAATGCAAGAATTATTTCAATTCGTACGAATAGCTCACTCGGAAATTATTTAAAACCGTAGTGCTTCACTTCGCTGAATTTAACCCTTGACTTTGCCTTTTCTATAGTTTCGCCTTCGGCTAAGCGGTATGATTGCATCCTAATTGACTTAATTACCGCAAGTGGTCTTAGGGCATAAAATTGAACTATCTGATAAAAATTCTATGTAACTGTATGCCAGTATTGAAAGGAACAATCAATCTGTTAAGAAATGGTTGCGATTTGTTTTCAAAATGATGCGTAAAAGGTTACCAGCGAGGATATTCCAATTGGCATCATTTGTGCCTTTATCGGCGAAACGGAAAAGTACCCATAAAACTGACGGATTTTACACAGTACTGGGATATTTTTTTAAAAAAATGTTCATTAAAGAAGGAAACGTAAAATAAACTTTGTATTCGATTCAGGGACCCCCTCTGATGTGGGGGCCCGGAACAACTGCCCCGTATGCCCCTGCTTTAGTCAGGCTCTGATTGTATACGCGTGAGGTTGTGCACGTTATAATTTTCGTATGTATATTAAACATTTGCTAATTTGGATAGCTTGATTTACGCTTTGGTACCAAGCTAGGTCTATTCTCACGATGGCGTGTTCAAGCAAAAAGGAAAAAAAAGCTTATTACTTTTATTCGGAATGGGAAACTGATTACTTCTTTACTCAAGTAAAGGACAAATGTGTGTGTTTATTGTGCTATGCAAGTGTATCAGCTAGTAAGAAAGTTAGTGAATTCGAAAGACGTTTCCAAGATTTCAAATGTTTGTCAAATCGCCTTTTATAGAGATTAATGAAGTGCTCTCCTCTTGTGTTATGAGGCATTTTGATTTTCAAGAAGATAATGCTGCAATAGAGTTAAAACTGATTGATTTTCAAGAAGATAATGCTGTAATAGAGTTAGAACTGATTGATTTTCAAGAAGATAATGCTGCAATAGAGTTAGAACTGATTGATTTTCAAGAAGATAATGCTGCAATAGAGTTAGAACTGATTGATTTTCAAGATGACATATCTGTAAAATTTCTGAAAAATATTTGGCCCCATGTTCCTAAAGAAAAATACCCAATTTTGGTCCAGCTTTGTCTCCAAGTGAAGGCAATATTCAGCTTTACATATTTGTGTGAGATTTCTTTTTTCAGTATGAAACTAATTAAAAATCAGTACAGATATAGATTCACTGATGAGCACTTAGACAATTATGTTCAAGTGGGAGCCATTATCTATTCTCCCAGCACTAGAAAACTTGTTAATGACAGAAAAAAGAAGAGTTTTATACTTCTCATTAAAGTTTAATAAGTCTGATAAAAAATTCTATCATAGCATTTGTTATTTATTAGTAACTACAATTCCATTCTGATGTACCATTCAATTTCAGTTTCTTTTTGTCATATATAGTTTAATTAAAATTGATTTCATATTTCTAGAAATGTAAGTTTATAGGAAATAAACACATGTAAGATTTTTTTTTTATGAAATTGCTAGTTGTTTCGGCTGGTAGCTCATAGTAGGATTTAAAAATGGTACCGTAGCTTAGAAGCTTCATAAGTTTGGCTACCACTGTAGTAAATCAAAAGGTTTATATTTTTCTGAGAGCATAACACCACTGAAGAGTAACAGAGAATTAAAAAACGGCTTACCGAGTTCTGTAATAAGAGGAACGTTTGTGCCATACACGGAGCCTCTTCGCTGCAAGACAATTGGACTTCCTAATGGAGACATTCCCTCTCGACCGGCTTCATCTAGAAAGATTGATTTTTATTGTAAATACAAGATATTGGGTAAGTAAAAGTCACATATTATACAAGCAGAAAAAAGTTGCCAGCGTTTACCCATGTGTTTAAAATGATTTTTGGTGTATTAGCACTTTAAAAGACTGGCAAGTTATAGTTTAACAAAGTTAGAGAGTTAGAGAGTTAAAGTTTTAACAGTTATAGTTACAGTTTTATAAACTATAACTCACAAGTTGTAGTTTAACAAAGACATATTTGTCTTTGAATTATTAATGCTTTTAATTAGTACTTCTTTATTATTATGACCCTCATTTTTTAAACTCTAAAATGGCGTCACCATTATTGCCAAGTTTAAGTATAAAAATAGCGAGCGAGAAACAATTCAGTTTCTTCCAGGACCGGATTTATATTTAAGGAGATTCTAAGCTATTTGAGATACGGGGCTCTTATCAGGTATAGGAGTGAATTTTTACTTCCTTGTACGAAGTAAAAAGGAAGTATTGTAATCACGAAAAGTTTCAGGCATCATATTTCAACACAAATATCCATTTTCACAGCTATCGAATGCAATGCAGCTATCGAACGATGTTTTTGCCTGATATCTGTACGTAAGGAAAGAATAAAGGGCTCTTTTTCCCCCAAAAAATTATAAAACTAATTTAAAATGAATTCTGAAGAGAATTTTTCATGGAGTCTGTGCGTACGTACGTACGTACATATGTATCTCGCATAACTCAAAAACGAGTATCCTCAGAACGTTGAAATTTTGTATATGGGACTGCTATAACACGTAGATGTGCACCTCGTATTTTGGTTACAATCGGCCGCACCAAACGTATATAAATATATTTACATATATATATCAACTCTGTTACCCGGCTGAGTGATTTCAGTTTCTTTATTCTTATATGTTTGTAAATTGTGCATTTTTTGGTCTAAAAATGATTGAATAATGCTGCTCATATCTTCCGATTAAGGTTTTTATGCCTTTAGTAAATCTCTATGCAATATTTTTAGAATTATCCATAATTTGAAAGTTGTTTAAGTGCCGCTAAGCCTAATAATGTTTGCCATTGGCGGAATTGCTTGTTTACATTTGAAACAGCAGAATAGTGGATTTGTTGCCAATCTAGAGAAAGTAAGCTTCGCAATAACAAAGACAACGCATTCTTTTATTATTGCGAATTAAATCATACTTAATCCATTCTGGAATTTATTCGAGAAAATAAGTGTTTAAGATTTGCTTCGTAATTTTCAATACAGACATTTTGAGTTTTTATGTATTTTTGCCTTGTCGCGAAGTGAGAAATACTCAATCGTCTGTGAAACATTTTTTTTTCATATTTTTTAAAACTTTTATACGAATTTTTGAGTAACGAACTCAACGATTTAAAAGCGAACAATGGCAACACTACGGGGCAAAAACGATCTTTTTATCTCCAGCGCGCGGAACTGTGTCTCGGAAATTCTAAAGATATGCTCATTTTAAAATTATTTTGCGACATTGCTATTGAACTGAATTCTATGCTTTAAGTGCAAAGAACATGATATTTAAAAATAAAGGTAACATACAAAACGTTAAAAAGAATGCCCCTTTGGACGTAATTTAAAATCTGAAACCTTTCAGATTTTTTCTTTCTTTCTTTTTTTGTTGTTGTTCTTTGCTTAATTTCTTTTATACATCGTTTTAGATTTATTATGGGATTTGAATAGAACATGTGGCAATGATTAGATAATTATGGGACTGCTATAACACGTAGATGTGCACCTCGTATTTTGGTTACAATCGGCCGCACCAAACGTATATAAATATATTTACATATATATATCAACTCTGTTACCCGGCTGAGTGATTTCAGTTTCTTTATTCTTATATGTTTGTAAATTGTGCATTTTTTGCTCTAAAAATGATTGAATAATGCTGCTCATATCTTCCGATTAAGGTTTTTCCGATTTCAATTTTGTGCATTCTGAGTTACAAAATGAATGAAATGCAACGTTGTTAAGTGAACTTAGGGCCAGAGTGTCGCTATCGTAAGCAAATATAGTGAATTTTAAAGAGTGCATTAATTCTATTGTGGTTTATGCGCTCTCGACGAAGTAGATTTAATTCAATCCAATAAGTTTAAATGAAATGCAAGAAAAAATGCGTATAATTTAATATTCCGTACAAGGAAGTTATGTGGTGCACACATCAGATTTTTTTTATATGGGATATGGTACAAGTTTTGGGGATGGGGGCGCTAAGCTACAGCTTGTGCAGCTTATACGCATATACGGCACTGGTTCGTTCTCAGTATAACCAGCCAAATATCCAATATTCTGGAAGAATCTTAACAAACATTTCTTGGCTGATATGCTTTACCTGAATATGTCATCAGAAAGATGTTGTTGTCCTAAGGATTTTCACCACATGAACAATGGAAGGTTATCTTAAAACCGTGTAACTCGTTCATTTTTACTTCGCCACATGGCGTAGTACCAGAGTTTTTCAGCAATTTTATCTGATTGGCTATCGTTGAATCAACGAAACGAAATTTATGGTCTCTAACCTGGTTCTTCCAGTTTTCTTTCACATGCTCGAGAACATTCTGAATAAATTGTCGATCCCATTTGGTTGTTGCTTTTCTACACTGGTTATCGTACATTTAAAAAAAATCACATATATATATGTATAAAATGTATAAAATGAACAAATCGAAGGTGTCAGTTTGCTATAGAAAAGTACCTTCAATATGGAATATGATCGCCTCTAGAAGCAATACAGCACATACAGCGATGTGTGATGCTTTCAATTATGCGGTCTATCAGTTCCATAGGAAGCGAGAGCCATTGCTCTTGCAAAGCAGTTGCAAGCGCGGCAAGGGTCTGAGGGGGCGGATTGAGAGCAGCTAGACGTCTTCCTAAAGCATCCCAAACGTGCTTGATAGGATTCAAGTCCGGCGATCGAGCTGGCCACTCCATGCGCATAACTGTTTCCTGTTGAGGATAATCATCTACGATGCGAGCCCTGTGTGGTCTTGCATTGTCGTCCTGTAACATGAAAGCATCACCTATTGCCCCGGCATATGGACGCACATAAGCATCAAGGATGTCATCTCTATAAACCTGAGTATTTACGGTTTCCCTTGGAAAGACATGGAGGTCTGTGCGTCCACCCGAAAAGATGCCACCCCAAACACAGACACTGCCTCTTCCGTATGCATCTCTTTCACGGATGTTTGACGGATGATAACGGGTTCCAGGTTCTCTCCATATCAAATGACGCCTGCTATCGCTTTCTAGAGTAAACCTGGACTCATCCGTAAAGAGAACAGCCCTCCATTGATCAGGCGTCCACTGGACATGTTGTCGTGCCCACTGCAAACGGTCCCTCCTATGGCGTGACGTGAGCGGCACGCAAATGGTTGGTCGCCTCGCAATACTGACCACCTTCGTGAAGCCTTCTACGCACAGTTGACTGACCTTCCGGTGGCTACGGTAAGGACGGATCTAAGTAGAGTCGGAGTAGCGGTTCTATTCCTGCGTGCACATAATGTCAAATATCGGTCATCGGCGCTCGTCGTAGCAGTTGGCCGTCCGTTGCTAAATCACCTAGATGCCGAATCTGCGGTTTGAAATTGCCTCCTAAGTCTATGAACCACAGAAGGAAGGACTCACATTTAGCCATCCGACCACTTGTGTTTGACTTTGTCCTGCCTCTAGTCTCCCAATGGCTCTCCATCGTAGTTCTGCCGGCAAATGATGTTGGAGGTCATTGGTACGCATTGGCAACCTCAGATTTCTGATGTCACTATCACAGTGAAATATGTGGGCTTGCTCTCAAACATGGACTTTTATGCTCCTTGTAGATTTCGTATTCCGAGTGCAGCGTCACTAATTTGTATATTGTAGTTTTACTCAGCTACTGTTACTTGGTAACATATTCAAATTTTACACGGTTTGGCTTATTTTTAAGGGAGTTATCGGTATTTTTGTGATTTTTCCTTAATTTATGATAGCCAGTGTGTTTGAAATCTGAGCGAGAAAGAATTCAGTTTCTTTTTGATATAACCCTCAAAATATCCAGTATTCTGGAAGAGACCCTACGGGTTCGGTTTTTTCCACCTACAAAACGATTTTCGTTTATACCAACAATTTTTTCAGCGCCATCTATTCGCTTATTGGGTTGTCAGAATACAATTTCTCTCATAAAACTTCCACTAAACTAAAGTAACTACTATTCTAAAGCCTGGGTTGTTTCTTTTACCACTTAATTGACGTCACTTCATCTGCCCAATAGTATTGCAAACAATATTCTGAAACTACTGCACCTGTTGCCAGAATGTAGGCTTTCCCTTCATTTACAACTTTTTAAGTTGCACATCTAAATGCTTTTGAGCCTTTGCGAAAAGTTCTCCAATGAAAAGTCCAAAAGGGCTATTTGTCTCGAAACACAATTTTGCGTTTTTCACATTTCATTCGAGTTCCATTTGGAAAAACCTAAGATATTATTTTTTATATTTAATCTGTATGTTATTAATTAACAAACTAAACTATTTAAAAGCAATAGATGTAGTTCTGAAGATTATTATTATTATATTTTAATTAGACTAATTTAAATAAAAATGCATGTCATACATGATATATCTGATTTAAAATATTAAATATTTGTATAGAATAATATTATATATATTTCCCTTTTCAAAGCACACAGAAGATACATAACGTTACCACGTTAGTCTAAACGCATATTTATCTAATATCCTATAAAATGTTTCGCTGTTCCACCTAGACCATCTCTATTGATAATCTCTACGGATAAATCATATTAAACTTTTAAAGAGCCCTTTTGAGCGATCGTTAATATGCGAAACCTTCAGATTTTTTTATTTTTTTTTATTTAGGGCAGATTTATATCAGATATAATAAATATAAATTTATTATATCTGATTAGTATTTTCAAAGATATCTAAAAAATATGGGGCATGGGTCTTTTCTTCCTACGCTACATACGTACACCTACAAAA